CCGAAAAACCGGTATCGGTGCATCCCTAATGAAGAGAAGCAAAACCTTTGTTTTCTACGCATAACAGCGCCCATCCTCACATTGTAGGCTGAGAAACACAGAAGTCAAAGAAAAGAAAAGGGAAAACATTCGGTCTACTTACAGAACTACGGGGTCACATTAAAGTTTAACAAACACTTTACGGGCAACATTTTATAGATACCCGACCAGCACACCAGATACCCCATTCCAAAACTATGGACATCATTATGAAGTCCCTCCCACCCAACCGTTATTATAACAGCCTTCCCCATCGGTGGGAAATCATTCCCCCACATTCTGTGTGGATTCAGCCAAAGGAGCATTTGTGAGATCAGGAACCGATGGCGGACAAGAATTGGCTTCCAAATGGTGTTCCAATTCATCCCCAAAGAGCTCACAGGGGTTGAGGTCAAGGATTTGTGAAGGCCATTCTAGCTCCTCCACAGCAAATTGTCCACAGTCACGCCAAAACCAAGAAGGGGCATGCCCAAACTGTTGCCACGATTATACAAAATGTCCTTGTATGCTTCATTCAGCATTAGGAGCACTCCTACACTGGAAACACCTGAGCTCCATCATTTGAAGGGCTGTCCACATAGTGTCCGCGCAGTGCAGATGTGATGGTCAGATATCAACAAACGTTTGGCCATATAGTATATGTGCGTGTATTGCCTCACAGCAACCAGATTCATACACGCACAGGGAAAAGGACTGGTGAGAAACGAATGCTTGAATTTGACTAGACGCTATAGGCCAGTGGTGGCGAACCTTGGCACTCCAGCTGTGCCAAAACTACAAATCCCAACATGCATCTGACTCTGGGAGTCATGTCTGTGGCTGTCAGAGCCTTGCAATGCCTCATGGGACTTGTAGTTCCAGAACAGCTGGAGTGCCAAGGTTCGCCATCACTGCTATAGGCTAATACGGTCCATCTGAAGGACACGATGATAAATGAGGCCCGCCATGAAGTGGTTTTGCTCTATCCACCCCTTTTTCAGCAGCTAACTGAACATAGTTCATACTGTGATCCCCATAAAGTTAAGTTTATATATAAAAAATGTCTAGTTAAAAAAACAAAACGGCATTCAAGAACCCAGTGAAGACCCATTTTCTACATCTGGAGGAGGCTTTCTATCCACGGTTGCCACCAAGGGTTTGGGGGGTAATAATCGGCTTATTAAAATTTGCTTCGAGTGCTAAACAAATATAGGAAAATGGCACCTGGGTATTAACAATCCACCCAAAAAGGTTTAAAAAATAAGTATTGGACAGACTGAGGAAGGATTGGAACCCGTCTGGTTTCCACCTCCATCTGTACCTCTGTTAAAAAAGAACTATGAGGGGGGGGGGGGGGGGGACCCCTCCCCGCCAGTGCTGACTGGGGGAAAAGGATGTGGGAGGGTACAGCTGGCTCTGCTTCTAGATAGGCAGAGCCAGCTGTCACTCACGCAGCTGGGCGGATCTCGACATCGATGTTGGGAACCGCTCCGGCGTCTCAGCATATAGGGAGCTGTAGCTCGCGGTATACTGTGCCTAGGGTGACGGGAGGACGTTAGTTTGTGTCCTCCCGTTACCCTAAGGAGAACCATGGGGAAAAGCCCTGACCCCATAGTTCTCCTTTAAGGAGATTTCTCCTCGCTTAAAGTCCAGTAAGGAAGTGAAAAAATGTCTCCAACAGTGACACCAACAGGAAGTAAAAGCCAAGAGGGGCCTTGAAAAGAAGAGAGAGGGTGACATGTAGGAATGGGTAGTTTTGTCTACCTGGTAATAGTCACATTCAACTGGACTTGGTCACCACGACAGTGGTGGTCCCGCACAGGCAGAGATAGGTCAGCGCCTGATTTGGCTTTTGACACCACGCCGAGGCGACCAGGTCTCGCTGAAACTTGACCCTCATATACGACAGGTTAGTGGAGGCCACGCGCCCCCTCCGTGACTATATCAGTTATTTATGCCACTCATGCACTTCTTCTATAGGCTGTGACCCCACTGTGGGGATATGTGACTTGATTCAATGTATATGTACGCAATATTTCCTGTATCTAAATAAAGAATTTATAATGTTGAAGATGTTCCGTTGCATTTCTAGCCTCCTCCTACTCTACTTTAAAAAAAATGTTGTCTCCATTTGCAATGGGACAGTGAGTGAGGGGGGAATCTCATCTGCACACAACCTAAACAATCCGTCATTAACAAGTCAAAGAATCAAGAAAAACGGCAGTGCCTACGCCAAATGCAAGCCGCCAAATAAAAAAAAAAAGGCATTTTGGATTTTCTTTTTAACATAAATGTAAAATTTCCAGCTACAATTGCAGGCATTGGGTCTCTAAAGTGCTACCGGATAGAGGAAATGCACAATATGTGTTATACACATATTACAGTTGTCACAGACTGACAGAAACAAGTTGAATTAATTACACTTTTTTTAAAATTAGCCAGAATTGTAACATTTTGTAGGGGCAGCAGCTTGGAGCTTGGTTCCTCTTGACATAGGCCTACCCCCAGAACTACATCTCCCAAGAGCCCTTTCCCCTACTTCCAGTGTGTGTAGGCAGGATCTTAGGAGCCAAGGCAGCGGCATTGTTTTGCTGGGAAAGAAGTCAATGTACGCATGTGGCGTGGGACATAGAGGGGTGGGGAATAGGCCAGAGTCCCGTGGGAAGGACTAACAACGCTTGAGATTTGAGTGCAGCAAAGCCGCTGTATTGTTCGTTGAAAGAGGAAACTAGGAGCTCCCCGAATATCTGACAGATTACCAGCTACATTTAAGTACTTGCAGCATTTTGAACGGGTTAAAACATGGGGGAAACGCGCATGTATCGCAGACATCTACTGAATGTTGCATTTTTATTTTACCCAGACCTATATTTTAAGCCGGTGATAGAAGTCTGTGGACTGAGGATTGAGCTATTTGGGTTCTTTTAAAAGAAAATCTACATTAGATTATGGCGAATAGCATACTAAGCGTTAGTCAACTAAAGAATAGAGAGGGTGACATGTAGGAATGGGTAGCTTTGTCTACCTGGTAATAGTTAGTCACATTCAACTGGACTTGGTCTATAATATTGAAGATGTTTCGGATCTTATCCGACCACTTCTTCAGTTCTGTTTGAATTGTGTGGAGCGTCGAGAACATCTTCCAGTATTTATATCAACACAGGTAGCTAAGACACCTTACTCAATTAACCACGGAATATGTTACGGCAGATGCTTATTGTCCGACAATGGGATGGGATGCGTGACAGGTGTAGAACCTCCCCACCAAAAAAATCTCACTTCCTAGTGTGAGGAAGTCTGCATTGGTGTCATTCGATTCACATGACTTAAAAGGAAAACTATGAGGTGAGTAAAAAATCACTCCTCCTCATAGTTCAAGCCGACCTGTGACAATGAAACTGTCACAGGTCGGCTCAATAGATCGGGAAGTGAGCGGAAACATACCTTCGCTCGCTTCTCGATCATCTCCCTGCAGAGAGCCGTAACCGTCACTCACGGCTCCCCGCAGGGGTTCCCCCCCGCTCCGATCCTCCAGCGCTGACTGGCGGAATGATAGGCAGAGCCAGCTGTCACTCATGCAACTGGGTGGATCTTGACAGCATTGTCAGGATCCGTCCCGGCTGCAGCGGTCTCAGTGTACCGCGAGCTGTAGCTCGCTATATACTGAGCTTTGGGACACGGGAGGACGCTAGTATATGTCCTCCCGTGACCCTTAAGAGAACTATTGGGAAAAACACTTAGTTCTCTTTTAAGGTGTGAATTGCTATCACATTACAGGGTAGAAATGGTAAAACAGCATTATATGTGGAAGACAGATGGTGTCAAGGATCCAACCCCTGTTCTGGGATGGTTGCTTCAGATTAAAGTAGATGGCCTCTATCACGCCTTTACACATTCCATGGTGATTGAGGTGTCGGATCTACTTATGTGGATATAAATGTGGGGGTATGTTCCTGACAGTGAAGAAGTGGCTTGCATAAGCTACGGAACCTTTCAGAACAAGCCCAGCTGAGTGTGACCAGCTACTGCTAGGTTTACCATGACCTGGATAAATAAGAACCGTCATAGACATAGCTTTGTCTACGTTCCTCCTCTCCCTTTGCCTCCCCTTGTCCGGCCACCTCTATTTGTGAGATTCCTGACTGAGGTCTGAGAAGGCGACGGTTCACCATCATACATCGACTGCATTACGGTTCCTGGCGGTGTACCCTCTTCAGGCGCAGGTTTTGAGGAACCTTCCAGCAACGGCCCCGATGAACTGGACAAATGATGTAAAATACTCTTCAGAATCTGGTTGTTCTCCCGCATGAGTTTCTCCTTCCTTTCATAGTGTTGCTGTAACAGCTTCTGCTGGTCCTCCTGATGCTTCCGCAGCAAACATAACTTTTCCATTCTGTACTGTCTCTGGTCCTCCGTGTCTTTTTGTTTCAGCCTTAATTTTCTCGACCTTGAAGTTGCTCGGACGTGGTTGTTGACTTTAATGTTTTTGGTCAGTTGTTGGAGGCCCATGCCTACATGTAACAGGTCCATGTGTATTACATGCATCTGGTGTCTTTGGGAACGGTGATGGTTGTGTTGGACTGAATGAAATGAACCCAACACTTTATTAATAGCTCCCGCATTGGTCGTGCTTGGCTGACACCCCGTAGGGTTAGCTGCGGGGGGAGGCTGGTGGGTAACAATGGGAGGTTTGGTGGGAAAGGAAAGTGGCTTGCTAGGAAGTGGAATTGGCTTGGTGCAGGTGGGAATAGGCTTGGTGACAATTAATTGATGCTTAGCAGGGATAAAAGAAGGATTGGCTGTATCAACTATAGACTTAGAAGAAACAGGTTGATATTGAGAAGGAACAGGAAGCTGGGCAGGAACAGGAAGCTGGGCAGGAACAGGAAGCTGGGCAGGAACAGGAAGCTGGGCAGGAACAGGAAGCTGGGCAGGAACAGGTACAGGCTGGACAACAACGGGACAGGAAGCTGGGCAGGAACAGGAAGCTGGGCAGGAACAGGAAGCTGGGCAGGAACAGGTACAGGCTGGACAACAACGGGAAATGGTTGTGCAGGAGGTGTAATTGCATCAGCACTGTAATCGATCGGTTCCATCTTTACCACCATCTCTTTATCATCTTCCTCCTCCTCTTCTTCGGCCATATCAACTAAACACAAGAAGACATATTCAGAAAACAATTCCACCAATGACATGACGCACTATCAGTAATCATTCACAAGACAATGAATAACATAAAATTATTCGACATGGTCTTGTTGTGAACAAACACCGAAATTAAACAGCTTTGGGCTCTTTCATTGGACTTTTTTTTTTTTTTAAACCTGTATCGGCCAATCCCACTGTAGACTATAGCTGGCTGTGTGGGTGCTTCTGTGCATGTGCGTAGGCCTATCTTCCACATTTGCGGGAAACACGCGCAGACAACAGAACGTGCACGCAAAGACGCGCCAACGTAGCACACAGGAAATGGCGCAGCTTCCCTGAATAGATGGTCCTATTTAAACATGACAGTCCCATGGATCATTGCTGAATGGTCTTTCAGCTCCTGTGTTTCTGCGTGTTCCAGTGTTCTGCTGCCCTGACCCGGATCTTCTTCGACTACGCATGACTGCTGCCTGCCCCTGATCTCTGCTTGCTCCCAGACTATTCTTCTGCCTGCTGCTTTTGTACTTCGCTGTCCGACCTGACCTCGTCCGGCTCCAGCAGTGTTCCTCGTTGTCCTTCCAGCTACATCCACACCTGCTCCCTTGGAGACCAGCTTCGGGGACTTACCCAGGCACAGTGCCCTATAGCATCTGTCCTCTCACTCCCTGTCTCCACTCTCAGGGATGTGGGACAAGAGTTGTAAATGAGGCCTCCTCAACTACTCTGTTCTCTACCAGGTATGTGATAGCCACCTTTTCTTAAAGCCCCACTTCCCAAACTTTGGCAAGATGCCTACCAGCCACCACACTTCTACACTTTCCCAGTACCACCTGAGTTATAAAAGGAAATCTGCACTGAAGGATCTATGAAGGATGCCATAGTGGACCCGTCTCTGAAAATGTTAGGTATTTGGCTGTCTCTGGTTTGGCTGTCTCTGGTTTCTTTATTTCAAATCCAAAGCAATAGTAGAGTCTTGTACTATGTTAGCCATTATACCTGCGGTCCGATCATAATGCTGCAAGCACCATTTTGATCGCACCGGACCGGACCGCAGGCATAATGCGGCCGGAGGGCGTGGCTACGGTGCCATTTACTTCAATGGTCCGCCACGCCTCCTCCTGCCACACAAAAAAAGTGAGCCGGCCGCAATGCGCGGCAGTACGTTCTGGCTAGAATCAGGCCGGAACGCATTGCATCTGGTGTGAACGGGCCCTAAGGCCTCAATCACACTGTCGCGCGTATATATGTGTATGCGCGTATAGTACCACATGCAGCATATGCAAATAAATGGCTCCATACACATAGCTGCGTATGGAGCCGTATATTTGCGTAGCGTAAAAACAGAATGGAACCGAGATGCGTATTTCCGCGCATAAACAATTTTCTATTACAAATGATGCATTGTTGGATTGCAAACAGTGCGCGTATATACGCAATATACAATTTTGCTCTTGCGTTGTGTGTGAATGAGGAATAAGGGGGAAAGATCAGCTGCAGGGAAACCACAGGCAGTACTGGTGAATAGTCCCTTACTATCTGCCTGCCCTTTTTTTGGCACAGCTTCCAGAGTTCAGTTCCTCTTTAACCTCTTGCCGTCCGCCCGTTGTAAAAAAACGGACGGACGGCACTGCTGCATCGGCGGGTTGCCGTCGCCAGACGGCATTTTTTTCCTGCTCGCGCGCGCCCCCTGGCGGGCACGCACGGGCAGGAAAGACCCGACCATTGCACACACCCGTTACCGGGTGTTTCACATATAGGCGATCAGCGGCTCCATAGCCCGCCGATCGCCTATATGTGCTCGTTCACGCAGCGCTGAACACTGAAAAATGGCCTGGATGGGAAAGGGATTTAACACCGTGGATGTCAACTGGTTAAAGTGTGCATCTTAAAGGAGAACTATGAAGTGAGTGATTTTCACTCAGCCTCATAGTTCTAGCAATGAGACTGTCACAGGTCGGCTCAGTAGATCGGGAAGTGAGCAAACACATACCGTCGCTCGCTCACTTCTCGATCCTGTCACTGCAGAGAGTTGTGACAGGGGAGGGACTGGATTCCCCCCTACGATCCTCCAGCGCTGATTGGCGGAACGGACGGGGGAGGGGGCGGGTACAGCTGGCTCTGCCTCTAGATAGGCAGAGCCAGCTGTCACTCACGCAGCTGGGGGGAGACAGACATAATTGTCGGGATCCGCTTCAGCTGTGGCGTCTCAGTATACTGAGCTTAGGGTGACGGGAGGACGCTAGTTTGTGTCCTCCCGTTACCCTTAGGAGAACTATGGGGAAAAGCCCCGACCTCATAGTTCTCCTTTAACAATTCTAATGTTTGCAAACTTTATGTATTGAGTTGCACATGGCTATCTGAATTACCACCTTCCCGTTGGCTGTATGCACATACATAGCTGCATTGGGGGGGCTTTATGCCATGGTGCCTCATATATCTGCTCAACCGTGTACCCTAAGCACTGTGACCACCTTGTCACCGACAATCCCAGTTCCATAATAAAGATCAGGAGCTAGTAGGATAGATCACATGATCACTGAGCCAGCAGATCTCCAGTTCAAAAGACTCAGGACATGCCTCCAAAATGTACAATCCTTAAAAGGGCTGGCAGGAAACTAGCGAAACAGAGTTAGTAACAGGCATACCTCGGTGGCCACTGAGTAAGTGTAAAATTCTCACCTTCCACATAATACTTACACGATGAATGGTTCCAAAAGTCTTCGCCGTCACAGGTGTCTTCAGGCTCAGATTTGCCTGTTGAAATTTAAGAAAGACCTTATGAAGTAAGGTCAGTCAGTACGAAGGCATAACAACCACTTCACCCATTTCTACCTAAAGACCCCTTTTAAGGGAATAGATATAAGTGAAAAGAAAAGAAAAAACCAAAACGAACAAAAAATAAAAAAAACAACAAAAGAAAAAGAAAAAAATTCAGTAAGATTTTGCAGGAGGAAACTGTGTTCCTACTCAATATGCAGTTTTACTCCTACCTTCTTTTTTCTGACCAATGGGGGCAGGAGATGGGAACCCTATTAGTGCTGGGTGGTGATGATTCAGGAGACCTGCAAAAAAAAGCAAACAAAAAGGTTTTAGAGAATTTGTGGCCTTTTGTAACTCCTTGTGGCATAAACTTTCATGTCCGGGACATCACAATCCAGGTCACGTATGGGAAAGAATGATAAATCATACACAGTCTTTCCTAACACCAAAGCTGCTTATAGGGACTGGACTTCTTCCTCCATCCCTCCTGACACTAGGTCCTGTCATTCGGCTGTCAAATGCCAGAGCCTCCAGTGCCCACTGATGTTCTACCATCTGCCAGTTGGAAGGCAGGGGGTGAGGCTAGGCAGTCATGGAGGGCGTTGCTTATACTCAACTTAAGGTGCCCATACACTGGCCAATTTTGGACGGTTTTTAATGTACCGGCCGAAATTCGCACAGTGTGTGGGGCTGTGGGCTCCTTTTCAGCTAACATTCCTCGATCAGCTGATCGAAGTTGGCGGCTGGAAAATCTTTGTGCGATCAGAGCCAGCAGCCAATGAGCTGTCCGCTCTGACCGGGTATTTGGACAGGTTCCTGGCGGCACTTGTCAGAATGCAATGTAAACAGCAGCGATTTCTTGATCGACAAGTTGTCTGTGTTGTTGGAGGAATTGGGTCAATTTTTTCGTTCAGCCCGCATGCCGCCACTGGACTCTAGAGAAGTGGAGACGTGTTATCTGGAGTGACCAATCACGCTTCTCTGTCTGGCAATCCGATGGACGTGTCTGAGTTTGGCGGTTGCCAGGAGAACGGTACTTGCCTGACTGCATTGTGCCAAGTGTAAAGTTTGGGGGAAGGGGATTATGGGGGGGTTGTTTTTCAGGGGTTGGGCTTGGCCCCTTAGTTCTAGTGAAGGGAACTCTTAAGCCATCAGCACACCAAGACATTTTGGACAATTTCATGCTCCCAACTTTGTGGGAGGAGTTTGGGGATGGCCCCTTCCTGTTCCAACATGACTGCGCACCAGTGCACAAAGCAAGGTCCATAAAGACATGGATGGGGGAGTTTGGGGCGGAGGAACGTGACTGGCCGCACAGAGTCCTGACCTCAACCCGATAGAACACCTTTGGGATGAATTAGAGCGGAGACTGCGAGCCCGGCCTTCTCCTCCAACATCAGTACCTGATCTCACAAATGGTCCAACATTCCCATAGACACACTCCTAAACCTTGTGGACGCCTTGCCAGAAGAGTTGAAGCTGTTATAGCTGCAAAGGGCGGAGCCAACCCAATACTGAACCCTTTGGGCTAAGACTGGGATGTCATTAAAGTTCATGTGCGTGTAAAGGCGTCCCAATACTTTTGGCAATATAGTGTGTATATATATATATATACACACACACACACACACACACACACACACACATCACATCTTACTTGAGGTATAAAAAAAAAAAAAAGATGCGACTAGGTTACAAAAGCACATGGCTTCACGACACAATAAATGACAAGTAATGATCAGATAGAAATGATTCAAGCAATAATTCCTGACTTACGTGGTTCTCGATCTGTGTCCACATGGCCATCTATAGGTCGTACGGTATCTGGGCCGATGACATGCATTAATTCTTCCTCATAGGACAGGTACTGCAACTCCAAGACAGGACCACCGCTGTTCCGCTGATAATACTTGCGCTGGTCGACCATCTTTGCCTTTACACGCCTTTTAATGTCTCTCAATCTCTTCTTGCAGTTTTCTGCGCTTCGGGGCTGAGTGCCGGCTGCATTGACCGCCTCTACAATCCTGGACCACAGAAAGTTCTTACGGGCTTGAGAGATGGTGGCTGCATTCTTGCCAATAATACTGTCCCACACGCCTACAGCTTCATGCACCAGAGCGCAGTTTTCGTCAAAGGAAAATTTGATGTTACGGGGAGCTTTGGTGTAAGGGCAATCCCCCTGCCCCAAACTACCAACTCCCGGATCACCGGAGCCACTTCCATTTTGCACGCACGCGCTGCCCTTTTCTCCTGCCACGTCCATGCTGTTTTGGCTCTGGAGGCCATGTTGCGGGCTCCTGAGCATGTACTCCAGTTTGAACAGGTTGGCCACCTTGCTTTCCATCGGTGTCAACTGCAAGAACAATGGATGACCAGGTGCTGAACCATGCTTACGAACAGAAGCTAGTTTCTCCATTAGCCTATGCCTGTAAAGGTGCCAGTGTTTCTTGGCCTCCTCGATGCCTCTCTGCACCACACCGACTGCATTCACGTTATTGAGGACCTTCTGCCAAATCAAAACTTTCTGTGGAAATGGGGTTATTCTGGCTTTTCCCCCAAAAAGTCTGTCGTAGTGTTCTAACATTTCGGTCACCAGAACAAATTCTTCTGAGGCTGAGAATCGAGGCCGTCGCCTCACCTCCTTGTCAGTGATACTGCTTGTGGAGCCTGTTTTCAGGTATCCCTCCTTGATGGATAACACACCATGCTGTGGCTCTGTCAAAAAAAGAAATATACTAAAATTAACTTCTTGCATTCAGAAACGGAATACAATTTAAAGCAAACCCGTGCTGTACTAATGAAGGGCAAAGCAACATTGGTGTTAATGGCTCTCTACCCAGCAGCACATGTCTTTAACTCTCCTACCGCTCCATTCAGCCACCAGAAGTGAGGAAAGCAAGAATGTGTACAAGTCCTTCGAATCAAACTGATTGGGGACTGCGGTCTCTCTCTCCACTACTGTGGTTACCACAATATAGCGTACCAGGAAAAAAAACACTACAACCCGATGCCTTGCTCCCGAGCAGCTGGTGCACAAATCTTCTCTCTGATGCCCTGGATTGCAAGGGGGGTTCCTTGGCATCCTCACATATAATGCAGGGCTACCGGTCCTGCATTGTACTTGGAGATGTCAGGCTGTAGGACCTGGTTTTACAGCATGCAAGGAGTCTGCATGATGACGTCACTGCCACCGCTTCTACTTTTTAAAAAAAAAATCAGATAGTTTTTATTGATTTTGCATAGTTTCAAGTGATAAAAAAAGAAAAAGTAGAAAAAGAAAAAAAGAACACATACATCACAAAATTCGACAAATAATGGGCCGTTAGCCATCGGCAGGGCACATTGAATAATAGCTACATTGTGAACAATGCGGAAATATCACACACATATCGCAATACGAATAGCCAACACCTTCATACGAGACCAAATGGATACATATTAAGAAAATATACCAAATATAACAATAATAGGCAGGTTCATGATCCACTTAGTCAGGGATGTCGCTTCTCATTCTTCCAGTGGCAGTGGGGGAGGGGGCAGGCATTCTTCCAGGACTGAAATGTACTCATGTAATGATGTGTGAGTGCTGTTCAGTCTTCGGGTACTGCGAGACCAGCTTGCATGATAATGCGCAAATTAATTCTGTTGAAGAGGACTACCAGCGCTGGACTGGTAAGGAAGTTGGGAACAGCGCTGGAGCATGATGAGAGTAAGTGAACACTGACTACATTTTTGACCTAACACTGAAAAAAACATCCTGGAGATACATTTTAATGTCCTGCGTGTACAGGAAGTGGGCTGAACAATGCCAGGTGCCTTTCAACCCAGGATGTGGGGGCCAGCTCTGGAGGTAGTTTGAATGTTGCTCGGAGAGCTGCTTTTCTATTATCTTATTTCAATTAGATTTTTTCCTGCAGCTGGGCGAAGGCTTAGTTTACACAGACAAGTCTTTTCAAGCCAAAGTCTGACTGAAATGTATGCAGCAAGCTTCAAGGAACTTCCCTTAAAGCTAAACTATAGAGGAGAAAAAAATACCCTTGCGGTGGGGCTCCTCTTGCATTGCACAGGTTAAATGCTCATTTATGCCTAGGGTACCAGATAAAAGGACTTCTACTTTTAACCCCTTCACTCCAGCATGCTCCCTCCACACTATGCAACCACCCCCAGGAGTCTCTTCTTCGAGGATCTCCATCAGTCGCCCTCTGACATCATCAAGTAAAGCGCATGGCCAATAGCACTGCATTGTACGCGAGGACGCCAAGGGAATGCCCAAAACAGGGTGTCAGGGAGAAGAAGATTGTTGATTGCCAGGAGAGCAAGAGATACTTTAAGTAAAAGTCATTTTTTCTGATACTATAGACATAAATGAGAATTTAACGACTGCAGTGCGGGGCTAGGCCTACTGCAAGGGTGTTTATTTATTTTCCCTAGAATACAGGAATTTCAGCCTGGCCTGGATATGCTGAACACAAAACCTTCAATTTTAAACCATGCTTCATGATACACCCATGGAACAGAGTCACTGTATTTTGTTTTTGCAAAAAGGTGAAGATATTAAAGTGAGAATTAATGAGGCGAGTGATTTACTCTCATCCTCATAGCTAGAGCCGATGTGTGACACTAAAACTGTCACAGGTCGGTTCTTTCGGGAACCCATTCCGGCGCTCGCTCACTTCCCGATCATCTCTCTGCAGACAGCGGAGACTGTCAGTCACCGCTCCCCACAGGGATTCCCCTCTCCGATCCTCCAGCGCTGACTGGAGGGACAGACTGGGCAGGTACATCTGGCTCTGCCTCTAGATAGGCAGAGCCAGCTGCCAATCAGCTAGCTGGGTGGATCTCGACAGTATTGTCGGGATCTATCTCGGCTGTGGCGCTCTCAGTATATAGCGGGCAATAGCCCACGGGAGGATGTTAGTATACCGTATTTTTCGCTCCATAAGACACACTTTTTTCCCCCCAAAAGGAGGGGGAAAATGTGCCTGCGTCTTATGGAGCGAATCCCGACGCCCGAGACATGCAGTTTCGGGCGCCGGGCGAGTAGTAGGAGCCACTGCTTGTCAGACGAAGAACGGACTTTCTTCGTCTGCTCTGTGTGATCACTGAGACCGTGGCGCTGTAATCACAGCGCCACCTGTCTCAGCGGTCACTAACTGCAGCTTCTGTCACAGCTTCTGTCATAGAAGCTGTGTCAGAAGCTACGGTCTGTCGAGTGCTCCATAAGGCGCGCCGGACCTCCCTGCGTCCTATGGTCCGGTGCGTCTTATAGTTACATAGTTACATAGTATTTGAGGTTGAATAAAGACATTAGTCCATCAAGTCCAACCTATTAGGATCTCATTCTAGGAGTACCTGTACCCCTGTATATTACGTGTACCCCTGTATATTAACCGTACCCCTGTATATTACGGTCCCTTAAGAAATCGTCCAAAAGTTTCTTGAACAATTCCACATTATTTGCTGAAATCAGCGCCTGTGGCAGTGAGTTCCAGATCCTAACTGATCTTACTGTGAAGAACCCCCTTCGCCCCTTGTGCTGGAATTTTTTTTCCACCAATTTTAGGTGGTGGCCTCTCGTCTTTGTAATGGAGTTAATTTTAAACAGTTTATCGCTAATGTTGCTACCACCATTGAACATTTTGTACATGGAAATCATATCCCCCCTTAATCTCCTCACCTCTAATGTGAACATGTTTAAATTTAGTAGCCTTGTCTCGTAGCTCTGGTCCTCCATACCCCTAATTAGTTTGGTTGCCCTCCGCTGGACTTTTTCCAACTCAAGGACATCTTTTCTTAGTACTGGTGACCAGAACTGGACCGCGTACTCCAGATGAGGTCGAACCAATGATCTATAAAGTGGCAAAATTATAGACTTGTCCCTGCAATACATCCCCTTTTTAATACAGGACAAGACCCTGCTAGCTTTGTTTACAGCAGCCTGGCACTGCAAGCTACCTTTCAGTTTGTGGTCTACAATGACCCCCAAATCCTTCTCCATTTCTGACTTCCCCAGCGGCATACCCATAATTCTATAACCCATTTGTTTATTTTTAATTCCAAAGTGCATTACTTTGCATTTATCGACATTAAACCTCATCTGCCACATTAATGCCCACTCCCCTATTTTATCCAGAAATATGGATAATGGACCGCAAAATACGGTATGTCCTCCCGTGACCCTAAAAAGAACAATGGGATAAAAAGGTGACCCCTTCTGAGGGCTTTCAGCAAGTTGTACCACTGCTTTAAGCCTGTCTGATCTAGGCCTTGGATGCGCTTCAGCATGTCAATGCCTTCAGTTTAGAATCCTCGGACTGTCCTGCACATGTAGCTCTTACATTTAATACAGAACACATTTGGGATCATTTCCGTGTGTACATACCTTTAGCTTCTGAGTCATCATCCGTTGTCATTTCTGCTTCATCAACCCGCTTAATCCAAAGCAACGTATCCGGGTTATAAATCAAATTACCTGAAGGATGCAAGATTAAATAAGAGGTGAAGATTGTTTTTTCTATTATCCATCAGAAAACGTCTCTTTATAAAATGGCAGATTTATGAAGGAAATGTGTTAAAGTATTATGTTATCTCATCACTTATATTTAATGCTGGAGGACGCATCAAAGCAATTTAGAACCAGCCACTTGTGTCTAAACTTCAACTCAGATGATTGTTTGTCTCATGCAGCCGGCTGTGTATAGTAAATACTGAAAAGAGAACTATGGGTCCCCCATAGTTCTCCTCAGGGTCACGGGAGGACATACACTAGCATGAATTTCTTGCATGTGCAATAGGGCTGCAACAACAAATCGATTAAAATCGATAATAATCAATTATGAGAATAGTTGGCAACTATTCTCATTAGTTGGGTGGGGAAGGAGGGAGAGAGGGGAAGAGAGAGAGAGAAGGAGGGAGGGGGAAAGAGAGAAGGAGGGAGGGGGAAAGAGAGAAGGAGGGAGGGGGAAAGAGAGAAGGAGGGAGGGGGAAAGAGAGAAGGAGGGAGGGGGAAAGAGAGAAGGAGGGAGGGGGAAAGAGAGAAGGAGGGAGGGGGAAAGAGAGAAGGAGGGAGGGGGAAAGAGAGAAGGAGGGAGGGGGAAAGAGAGAAGGAGGGAGGGGGAAAGAGAGAAGGAGGGAGGGGGAAAGAGAGAAGGAGGGAGGGGGAAAGAGAGAAGGAGGGAGGGGGAAAGAGAGAAGGAGGGAGGGGGAAAGAGAGAAGGAGGGAGGGGGAAAGAGAGAAGGAGGGAGGGGGAAAGAGAGAAGGAGGGAGGGGGAAAGAGAGAAGGAGGGAGGGGGAAAGAGAGAAGGAGGGAGGGGGAAAGAGAGAAGGAGGGAGGGGGAAAGAGAGAAGGAGGGAGGGGGAAAGAGAGAAGGAGGGAGGGGGAAAGAGAGAAGGAGGGAGGGGGAAAGAGAGAAGGAGGGAGGGGGAAAGAGAGAAGGAGGGAGGGGGAAAGAGAGAAGGAGGGAGGGGGAAAGAGAGAAGGAGGGAGGGGGAAAGAGAGAAGGAGGGAGGGGGAAAGAGAGAAGGAGGGAGGGGGAAAGAGAGAAGGAGGGAGGGGGAAAGAGAGAAGGAGGGAGGGGGAAAGAGAGAAGGAGGGAGGGGGAAAGAGAGAAGGAGGGAGGGGGAAAGAGAGAAGGAGGGAGGGGGAAAGAGAGAAGGAGGGAGGGGGAAAGAGAGAAGGAGGGAGGGGGAAAGAGAGAAGGAGGGAGGGGGAAAGAGAGAAGGAGGGAGGGGGAAAGAGAGAAGGAGGGAGGGGGAAAGAGAGAAGGAGGGAGGGGGAAAGAGAGAAGGAGGGAGGGGGAAAGAGAGAAGGAGGGAGGGGGAAAGAGAGAAGGAGGGAGGGGGAAAGAGAGAAGGAGGGAGGGGGAAAGAGAGAAGGAGGGAGGGGGAAAGAGAGAAGGAGGGAGGGGGAAAGAGAGAAGGAGGGAGGGGGAAAGAGAGAAGGAGGGAGGGGGAAAGAGAGAAGGAGGGAGGGGGAAAGAGAGAAGGAGGGAGGGGGAAAGAGGGAGGGGGAGAGAGGGAGGGAGGGGGGAGAGAGGGAGGTAGAGAGGGAGGGAGGTAGAGAGGGAGGGAGGGGGAGAGATATTTTTAATGCAACTAATCGAAAAAAATAAAATTGGGCAACTCATCGATTATGAAAATAATCGTTAGCTGCAGCCCTACAGTGCAAACCTGCATAGTCACTTATTTCTATGGGAGCACCTGTGGCCCCTGGGTGTTGAAATTCGCCCACACTTACATTGTATGGCCCCAGTTGGCCATGTACATAAGCCCTGATTTTTTTACTTATAGATTCAGTAACATGAAACAACAGGTTAGAATTACCTCGCATCCTGTCGCCTTCCTCTCTCACAGATCCGTAGGAATTGCTGGAATCTTCCGTTTTAATGTGTTCAAAGACATCGGAGTAACTGGAAAGCTCTAAAAACACAAAATCATAATAAATGCAGAAACTTACCATCGGATACAACACACACTCCTCCACCCAGGGGCAGAGAGCCATTTACAAGTGCATGTAGAGGAGAGATCAGTCTGGACACAATTCTTGCAGACTGTTCATTGGGAGAGACCCCCTTCTCTTACTATTTATGGTAAGCGGCTGCTATTACAGTAAACTCTCCGTTATGCGGTAGTCAACTAACCAGAACTCTTAGACCACATTCACACTGAGCTACATAAAAAAAAAGCACTTTTTCAGCGCTGATTTGAGCTGAGCGACATTGAGGTACAGTGTAGAAAAAACAGAGTCCCTCCGCACTCCTCGCAACGCTCCCGGCCTATACAAAAACGGTGCTTGCAGTGATAACCACGGATGGCGCCGTGCAGACACAAGGAAGAAGAGGATAAGGATCACCAGCACTCTGCAATATCATTCAATATGTCCATTTTAATCGGACAAAGTCACAGTGAAAACAGCCATCGTTTCCGGGGCCACACAGGGTCCCTTTATCAGGGCGAAAAGATGTGACACATTTTTTTGCCCTGATGAAGGGACCCTGCGTGGCCCCGAAACGTTGGCTGTTTTCACTGTGACTTTGTCCGATTAAAATGGACATATTCCATAGTCCTCTCCATTGAGGTACAGTGCACATTTTGTCGCACTACGTAGCGCTTCTTTATGGCAGTCTATCAAAGCCCATTAGGGCCAAATTGCACAAAATCCGCTGGAAATATAGCTCCTGGTCGAGCGACAAGCTACGGGCGACATTGAGCTGTGAACAGCTCCATTGAAATGCATTGGACGAGCTACACTGAGCGATATTTGAGCGGAAATCGCACTACAAATCGCTCAGTGTGAATGGGGTCTTGTCTAATCAGAAAAAAACATCCCATGTACTCACTGTTCTGCTGACCTGTAGCATGTATTATCCTGGAAATGATCGTGCGTCTATTTGTCTTAATTTGCTGTTGATTATTGCATTTCAATATTAATATGAAGTCAATACAGAGTTTATGTTATTGTATAGTATGGGGTGTAGTATGAGGTGTAGTATGGGGTATAGTATGAAGTATGGTATGGGGTATAGTATGGGGTTATAGTATGAGGTGTAGTATGGGGTATAGTATGAGGTGTAGTATGGGGTATAGTATGAATGATGTACTCGCCCAAATACTCGGCACCGATACTAGTATCAGTACATCCCTAGATTCTATGTGACAAATACCTTTTCAAAGAATTCCCCATTGGGTAGTATTAAGTGACACTAAACTCCGGAGATAGATCTTACAAATACATTCAATTAACTAATAACAACAATGTATCTTATTTGTGTATCACTCGGCTGTAGATCTTCCAATCATCTCTGAATTGGTGCTGACACTGTCCTTCCTTCTGGAGGGGGGCTACTTGTGTTCCCCATGGTCCCTGTGTGTTGTAATGTAGTCACCGCACCAAGCTCACTCCTAGGATGGACTACAATCTCATGTTTAATTTCCTCATTTGTATTGAAATTGTAGTCCATCCCGGGAGCGAGCTTGGAGCGGTGACTACTTTACAACACACACAGGGACCATGGGGAACAATAATAGCCACCCTCCAGAAGGAAGGACAGTGCCAGCACCAATTCAGAGATGATTGGAGGATCTACAGCCGAGTGATACACAAATAAGATACATTTTTGTCAATAGTTATGGAACTTGAATAGGGCTGCAACAACTAATCGACATAATCGATTGTTGAAAAAGTTGTCAACTTTTTCAATATTCGATTAATCGGCTTCCGATCAGTTGGCCCTGAATGTGTTAAGGTTTCACATTCTTTAATGCAAACCAAGGAAAACGTTTGTAAAAGGAAGGAAGACTTCCCACTCTGCATGCAATTCAAGACTGGATTTTGGCTGAGGGGTACCATTACAAAGCAGTGTGTCTAGCTTTACTGCCCACAGACTTGCAGCGATCATTTGTAACTTTGTACAACGCTCCTCGTTCTTACCTTGACCAGAGTTGTCCGTATAAGAAGATTCCATGTCTTCTTCCTCCTTAATTCTTGGGAAAACGTATGAATTCACTGATACACCACCTGAAAAATACAGACATGCCGGGTTTGCTTTCCTTTTGTTGGAATGGCCAATGTTTTTTAGAAAAAGAAAAAAAAAGCAGTTTTTGCTGCAATACCCAGCTTCAATCTTAAGCTGTGTCGTCCCCTCCCCCCGCAGTACTCTTCTTTGGCCACAAGATGTCCTCAGTATTCCAGTTTAAATTATGCTGTGCGTCATTCAACCTGGAAGACTGGAGAAAAGCTTGGAGTGCCGGCCGTCATGGGCCCATCCCCTAAGGGGCATCAACATGCCACCCGGCATTCACTATGTAACGGTAATCATGTCGCCATCTCTCCCTCTGGATACCGCCTAGGCTGCAGAAGAGGCATAGTGTACCCTGCAACAAAATACTGTCCGGGTAACCTGCGTGGGAAGTCCCGAGCCGGGAGTTTGGCTTTAAAGTGGAATTTCACCTTTATTAGCTGACTTCCCGATCCTCTCCCTGCAGTGAGCGGTGACTGTCACTCACTGCTCCCCGCAGAGATTGCCCCCTCCTCTCTGATCCTGCAACGCTGACTAGAGGGGCGGGCACAGCTGGCTCTGCCTCTAGATAGGCTGAGCCAGCTGTCAATCAGTGGATCCAGACAGCATTGCTGGGATTCATCCCGGCTGCGGCGCTCTCGGCATATAACAAGCGATAGCCTGCAATATGCTGAGTTTTGGGTCACAGTATATGTCCCCCTGTGACCATGAGAACTATGGGCAAAAAAGGTTGCCCCTATAGCTCTCCTTTAACTGCTTGAAGACCAGGTGTTTAGATCCCCTTCCTGGCCAGGCCATTTTTCAGTGTTCAGCGCTGCGGTACTTTGACTGACATTTATTCCGTCACGCAGCGCTGTACTGAAATGAATTTTATACCATTTTAGTCCCGCTCGCGCGTGCCGCACGGCGCGCCCGGGCGGATGTAACAGGACGTGTATACACGCCCAGTTACATCCAAGAAGCTCCCGGCAGGCCGTGTATACACAGCGGCTGGCCGGGAGGTAGTTAAAGTTCTAAATGGAGCAGAGGAGTGTCTGATCTTTCACCAGGTCCGGACCCTAGCAGGGTGACTTTTCCCCATTTCGGATTTAATTGGTGTTACTATCCCCCTTTATATGGATATATAGAGAATGCATTCTCTATATATGGATCTGACAGCCGCGGCCTCTGGTGTTTGTTTACATCCACTGCCATACATCTCACTGTCCTGACCACGCCTGCACATTACAGCTCTGGGGGGGGCTTCGGTTGGGTCACCTCCCTTGGCCCCCGGGACACAGCCCACTGGAAGTCTATGGGGCTGTGATGTGTAGGTGTGCCCAGGACGGTGAGACTTGTGGCGCTGGATGTAAACAAACACCAGAGGCCGCAACCATCATATCGAGGTAATCATGCATTCAAAGGCACATTTCCTTCACTCCGAAACATACGTCCATTGGATCTGGAGCAGGAGAATCTGGAGCAGTTTCCCATGGCAACCAATCAACTTCTCGCTTTCATTTTCAAACCTTAAGGTCCCGTTCACACCTAGGCGTATTGCATATGCGCGTCAGTCGCGCGGTTTTTTACCGCGATTCGCTGTAAAAAGTCGCGCGACAAACGCGCGTTTCCGAAGGCTACTTGGCTGTATCCCAATGGAAACGCGCAACAAAACGGCCCAAAGTAGTACCTGGACCTTTTCAGGCGTGGGCCGTTTTGTAGCGCGTTAGGGACGGGCGGAAATACGCCAAGGTGGGAACGAGACCATTGAATACAATGGGATTTATATTTTTGAGCGTTTTGTAGAGCGTTCGTCGAGCGTAGAACGCGCTACAAAACGTTCAGGTGTGAACGAGGGCTAACTGAACAAACTGAAGAGAGAAGCTGATTGGTTGCCATGGGCAACTGCTCCAGATTCTTCTGCTCCAGCTTTGATAAATTCCCACCTTTGTTTATGTGGTGTTGCTCCAAATCTACCCTATTAGACTTGCCCCGCCCCCACATGATATTACTGGGCACCTAAGCGTGTAGTCACCGGCGCCGTCATATCAGAGGTGGAGTAAATCACATGTTCCCCATACATATATTTTACACACAACGCACATACATCGGTGGGTGCATCTAAATGTACATTGAAGTGTGTTGTTACCAAGCATTGCAGCGCTTGTTTTTCTCATGCACAGAGGCGCGTCGGGATGCACTACACCGCGTCGCAACACACAGACACAGCCCAAGCATGCTGGTGCAAAAGGTCTGAAAGAAGCTGCGTCCGGAGTTCTGCAAGAGAGCGAAGACTGCAACGGAGAGTATAGAATTATACAGAATTTATTAAAAATGCATTTTAGCAAGGCATTCCTCTGCACAACAACGCATGTTCACGCCACACACGCATTATGCGTAGAATAACGCACGCTGTGCGGGGTGAACAAGCCCTACTTCTAATTACAGCGGCACCTGGAATTCTACAGGAGAGCGCAGACTGGACTCGCCGCAGCCGGACAGGGAAGTATCTGCACGTGTTTAATCTTATTTACAAATTACTTCCTATATTATCTGCATGGGGTGTGCAGCACAATAACGCCAGGCAGCCCCCTCCATGTGCAACGCGCTCCAGCCTGACAATACTTACCCTCTGGGCATATTATGGGTAATGACTTCTGGGGACCTGAGCGCTGCAAACTACCTTTCCCGTCCACTGGGAGATCATGGAAAGTGTAGCTGGTGCTGTGGCCGGGGGGGGCACCATGTCTAAGTTCTGCCATCAGCTGTATGAACGGCAACCTGAGGTCACACACCCGGCTCGCTTATACTAGTCTAAGGTAACATTTTGAGGCGTCCCCACATGGTTAATGAAAAGGGGTACCCCGATGCAAATAAACCCCTCGGCCCGCAGACCCCCACAACCACAGGGTCAGGGTTGTGGGGAAGAGGCCCTTGTCCCCATCGGCTTGGGGACACCCTACCAGTGCCGGGGGCATTTGGCCTGGTAAGGCGCGGGGGGGAAGGGGTTCTCAATCGCCCCCCCCCCCTTTCATGCCCTGCCAGTGCCCGGATCAAGGGTCTGGTAGGAATCTTACGGGGACCCCCCCCCCCATTTTTTGGGGGGTGGGGTCCCCCCTTAAAAATCCTTCCAGACCTAAAGGGCCTGGTATGGATTTTGGGGGGGGAACCCCCACGCACTTTTTTTTTTTTTTACTTCGGGGGCCCCTACTAACATTCCCACCAGACCTAACGGGTCTGGTATCAATTTGGGGGGGACCCTCACACTTTTTTTTTTCTTTTCTGCAGACTGTACATTTTATGTTTTATTGTCACTTTGCTGCAACGAAATTTCGTCCAACAAACGAAAAATCGCACAGACTGCCGCTAACAAATTTCGGATCCGTTTTCATTCGTCATTTCTGTTATTCGGAAATTCGGATACATCTGAATAACGAAAATGCGTCCGAAAAACGAATCGCACATGTCTATTATTTTACATATAAATACATATTAGATATGAGATACATTTTTGGTGGCACATAAGAGGCTTCATAGGCCTGCCTTGGCATTGCTTGTTTGGGGGAGGGGGGTTCTGGGATGTGACCAGCACCAGGAAAAGCCCGGCGGGATCCGAGGTGTGATTTATAACAGGTCACGGTGTGTATTTCATGATAAAAAGATGATACCAGAAGTGGGGTTCGAACCCACGCGGACATACGTCCATTGGATCTTAAGTCCAACGCCTTAACCACTCGGCCATCCTGGTAGCTGCTGTAACTCTGCTCAGGGGCAGCAACTACCTCTGAGATCGGGAGCACCCAACATTCCCCAAAACCCGGGCGGGACGTTCATGACCTGACGCCCTGCACTATGGAAGCGGGAGGAAAGGTAAACAAATGACGGACGTCACTTTTCCACCCTGCAGGCTGTTTTTTTGTTTTTTTTTAAAGGTCAAAGCACCGGGATGTGTTATAACGCCGCCGTGCACACATGGAACACGTCCAATTTTATTCCACCTGTGGGCGTGACCAGACAAACTTCAGCAAAGGAGGGGGGGGGGGGGG